ATCTACAAGGCTGACTTCCTCTTGTGTAGGTGAAAGTAGCAACTCCTTTATTAGCAAGGAAGTTGAAGCTCTGAGGGTTTAAGGAGTTGAGCCAAGGCCACACAGCTATGAAGCAGCAAAGTGGTCCACCTTTCAAATTGGATAAACCCTAACAATGTTAGCTAGAACAATAAGTAAACAAGCATAACTTTACAGGAGAAAGAAAGGCTGACAAGTGGATTGCTTTGGTTCACATGTTTGGGAATTGTGGGCTGAACACAACAGATTTAGGCACAGCTTTATCCAGAGGTTGCAGTGACATCATCAGGACACTGCCTCTCTCCATCTCCCTGCGCAGCCTTCTTTGCCCACCCTGACTCTGGGGGTGGTGGCATGTTGCCAAGCAGCTTTAGAGACACAATCTTCTAGTTTGGCATTGGAGGAAAAGATGGTGTCCTAATGATGATAGTGAAAGTCATGGGCCAGCCTGGGTCACTGCTTCTTTCTGCCCATCATGGTGGGATGGATTGATCTCAGTGGTCAAGCCTGGAGGGGCTGAATCATTGTGTGAGAGAAAGAAAGAGTCACCAAAAATATTCAAGGGTAAATGATGAGACAGGGAGATGAAAGCCAAGCAGGCAAGCCACAGATGTCCCCACTGAAGGGGTGAGAGCAGCTGCATTTAGAACACAGCCTCTTGCAGTAGAGGTGGCTGATTTTGCCCCTGTGCCTGTCTTTGGTCCTAAGTGCTGCCTGCAGGCTTACTATTTGCCAGGTGTCCACTGGATCAGGTGAGCAGGCCCTGATATTGTACAAACAGACACCAACTTGCTGCATGGAGAGAGCATCCTCAGCTTTCCTGGGTACTTCCAAGTGTCCAGAGTACAGTACCCAAGCCTGGCTCACATTGCCCAGGTCTTAATCAGTGGAGGCAGTTGTAACTACGACCATCAACTGTGTGGCTTTGATACATCAGAAACTGATTTCTCACAGATCTGAAGGCTGGCAGGCCAAGATCAGGGGGCCAGGATGGCAGGATATGATGAGGGCCCTTCCTCAGGTTGCAGCTGACCTACTTCTCATTATATCCTCACCCTATGACTTTTCCACAGCTCCCAAGCCCTCCTTTCCAATCCTGGGGGACCTGGGGAGACAACAGTGAGCACAAGGAAGGCCCCTACCCTCTTGGAGCCCACAGTCTAGAAGGAGAGACCGAGCAAGGACTAGTAAACTGATGAAGAAATAGGATGAATTCAGAAATGGTTGAGGAAACAGAGGAGAGAGAGGGTCAGGGTGTTCCTAGGTGGCAGTCAGAATGGGCTTCTCAGAGGAAGTGTCATTAGCGCTGAGAGCTTATTGATAAACAGGAGCTGCTGGGCCAAGAACTGGGAAGGGCAGCTTAAAGGTGATCAGGCAGCAGGCAGCTGGCAGCCTCTGAGGGAGCAGGAGTGGAATGGAGATAAGTAGGGACAGCCCAGGGACAGAGAGGGAGAGGTGGGCCACCCTAAATCTGAGTCTCCCATCAAGGCCTGAGGAGGTGTCAGGCAGGGCTTCTGAGCTGTCACCATCAGACAGCTTCTCTATAAAGACCCCGAAGCCCCTTGAAGACCCTGCTGTTCTGAGCTTGGAGAGAGGCAGGTTGGGAAGGAGGTGCTGGGTCTGTTTGCCCCAAGCTCTGGTTGCCTGCCCTCAGCCTCTCCCAGTGCAGAGTCACAAAGCACACTTCTTCCTCCTCTTGTTTTTTACTTGATAACTTTTTAGAGCATTTTTAAGCTCAAAATTGAGGGGAAGAACAGAGATTTCCCAAATGCTCCCATCCCTGCCCAGCCTCTGCCTCTGTCACCATCACTACCCACCAGAGAGGCACATTTGTTCCAGTTCAGAAACCCACATCATTGTCACCTAGAGTCTGGAGCTTACCTTAATCTTTACTCTTGCTGATGCACATTCTGTGGGAATGGACAGTTGTAGAATGATATGAACCCACCTTTGGCCATGACCATGATGTTTACTGGCTGTGATCTGAGGAAACAGGTGCATTGGCCATCAGGACAGAGCAATCTGAATCCATGTGGAGCTTCACTGATGCAAAATGCAGTCTCCTCACAGGCCTGATGGGCCTTGCCTTCCTAGGTCAGCAGCCTCATTGGAAACCTGGGAATGGTAAAAGTGACACCTACATTGCATGGGTGCTATGAATCTTTGGGCTTACACAGGAAGCACTCACTTCTAGGAGGCACCCATAGGGGTTTGTTGAATGAGTGAATAACGATACACTCTTCCAGACTTGGTGTGGGACAGCCTGGATTTGAATTCCCACCCTGGAAAGTCATTTCATCTGACCATGACTCAGTTTCCTCATCTATAGAGGGGGGATATACCCATCACATTGAGTTACCATGAAGAGTTGAAGAAACCATATCCATGAGCATGGGCCAGAAACAGTGGTAGGTGGTGCTACTAAAACAAATGTATGCAAACTTACTATGCAGCAGCTACTGTCTTCAATTCTTGAAAGGTACTGTATTCCTCCCAAAATTTGGACATTCCTCAGAAGGTGCTGGAGCTGCTGTGTAAATGATGTGTATTGCTTCCAAGCCCTGGCACATGGCCATCTCCTGCTTGGTGCTGGGAATTCTGGGAACTCAGTCAGCTCTGGGGAAAGTAGTGTTTTCAGAGAAGCAGCCTGCCTGGATGTTTAGAAAACTGAGTAGGATGAGCCCAAAGAGTGTCTGCCTCAGGCCTGGTTCTGTGTAACTATAGGCAGCCTATAGCTCTGGCCTTACCCTGTGGGCATATCCCCTCCCTGTGAGAAAGTTCTCTGCCTCAGGCCTCACTACTCTGAGGCTTCAGGAAAAACAATTTCCACGTTTAGGAAGGAGTCTGTGGATTGCATCTGGGAGCATTCCAACCTGCATGTAGCCAGAACAGGGACACTTGGGGAGAAACGAATAGGGTCCTGGCCCTGAATAGCTAGGCAGTAGGTGGTTTGACCCAGTCATCACTCAAGTGTATGTGTAGCACCACCATGGGCCATCATTTGGCCTATTATTTAGGAATCAATGCAGACAAACCTTCTAGTCCTCCTGGAGTTCCAATATTGTCAGGAAGTTAGTCAAGCCCACCAGCCATCTTGGCAGATGAGGGGCACAGGATGTTAGAGGTGTCAGCCTCCTCGCCATCTCTAGGTCTAGAAACCTGCAGCCAGATGTTTGTGAGGAGTAGCTTCAAGGAAAGAAGGGAGTGTTCTTTGGGCCAGTCAGGAGGGCTCCTGTTTCATGGGGAGCTGTTATAAATGATGGCTGGGCAAACCCCAATTTCCACCCTGTGTGATTTCCAGCAGAGGACTCAACTCTGGGGTTTACCCTGTAGAAAGAACATATTGTGGTGCATTTGATTCTGGGTACCAAAGGAACAGAGTAGTGGTTGGGGCCTCAGAGCCAAGCCCTGTGTGGATCCCTTTCCAACACAGCCAATCCAAACCCAGGTTGCCCATGCTTTTTTGTACAGAGATCGGAGAGCAAGTGTGGGGAGCCCCTTACCCACACATGTGCCTCACAGGTTGCCCTTTTGATCGGGTGCATGGACCTGCCTGGCTACTCTTTGGGAACCCATGACGCAGGGACCTTGGGAGGTTCCAGTTAAAAGAGAGGCCCTGTCCATCATGACTCCCTGTTTCACTCCACATTCCACAGCACTCTCTGCTCCATCATCAAAATGCAGCTGTACCTCTATCCAGAAGATTTTTGAGGTCCCAAGACTTGGACAACCTGAAGCTTTTCAGGACCTTCCTGTTTGTCATTATGCCTGAAGCAGAGGGGAACTTAAATGTCCTTCCCCAACTGAAGAACACAGATCCTGTAAGTCTGAGCTCTCTGATGATGGGGTCTGGGGCAGATGACTGAAGGTGTGTGCAGAGGAATCTCAGCTGGTGCCCCTGGGATCTGCCATATGTTCCCAAGACACACAACGCTAACATCCTTCAGCTGGTGGAACCTAGTCTGGGAAGATGGCCAATTGTGGAGGAGGGCCAGGACTATTCTCAGAGGCAGGGTTCTGGTGTGAATTGGGAAAGGCCCAAGGAAATTCAGTCATGTTGGGTGTTTTCTCCTGCAGCTCTAGCACCATATCAAGTGATATAATTGCCTCCAGCAGCTGTGGCCCAATTTACTTGCTTACATTTGGGGGAGCATATTATCACATTCCCTGTGAAGGAGGAGAAATAGCCCTCAAAATCAGAGGTTGGTCCAACACCAGCATTGACCACACAGGAAGATATGGAGCCACCAGTGGCCACTGAACCTTCAAGAAGAGGAGGAAGCTTAGCTGCCAATAAGAAAGTCAGTGGATATTGAACATTATTATCTTCCACTTGGTATATATATATATATATAGTACATATGGTGCTCCAAGCTGCCACCCCATCCTTTGAAAGAGAGCCACCTTTCCTGGCAGCAATATAAATTCAGGGTCCAAAACAATAGAGGCAGGAGGTCAAGAAACTATTAGGCCACAGCCCTCCACATCTCCTAGAATGTATCCTCACTTCCCTAGTTCTAAACTTTTCAATGGCATCTCCCACATGTGAGCTCCTCAGCATTACCCAGTGCCAGAACCCCCAGCACAGCTATCCTTCCCCTCCCCTCTGAGATTATCTATTTTATTTTTTGTGATGCTAATTCTTATGGCATTGTAAGTATTTTTAGTGACATTCTTTTATGTTGACCTAAAAGTGCTTAATCCATTCACCAGGCTGTGCCACCACCAGTACTGCGTATCTGCTGATGGAGCCCATGTAAAGCTCATAGGTACTGTGAGAGAGGATGCAAACAGGCCATGAAGGATGAGGTGAGATAGA